AATCATTAGATCCCCATGCAGCGCGTGTGTGCAGGCATTTTTTAACATATATTTTCAAACGAAACACGTTGTACAAGTAATTGTTGCTGAAAAATAGACTTCTAGCTCTGGGGTGGTTGGTCGATCTTTCCGATTGCATTCATGTGGCAGACTAAAAATCAAGAAATGCATACGCGAAGCCTCCTTTTTAGTGGAAAAACAACACGTTGGTACAAAATGCCGGTTTTGCGTGGTCTGGCCAACAAACAATTTTAAGCCAATTATGTGTAAGCGCTACGAATAATCGGTATGTAAAATCGATATAATAGTTTTCACTACTATAGTTCCATAATAGAAAATGTTGATATAATTTATGCGCTCCGACGCGACCGGTTTGCTACTTGCTAGTTGAAACGCGGGTAGATCAGATATGACAGGTATATACTGTAGACCTGATATAACGAGAACGATTAGTCGCGACAAAAAACGCGTTATATCGAGTTTACACACACGCACGCACGTACGCACGCACGCACGCACGCACGCACACACACACACACACACACACACACACACACACACACACACACATGCACACATAACGAAGCAGAACTTGCAATTTTATCACAAATAAATCTGTGATATACACGGGCCTCTACAAATCACACATAATAATATTTTTACGTAACGTATAATCTTTTTCTTCATCTTTCGTCATCTGTCTTCATGGTAACGCGCATTGTTTGAATTATTCTATTTCAATTATATTGTAAAGCAATGTATTTTTGTTTTAATTACGGTTTGATTCTAATGTTAGCTGAAAGCCTGAGGAAGAGAGGTACGTCTCGAAAGCTCGCTGATTAAAATTTAAACATCCTTTACCTACTTTTCGAATTTGTTTTTTATCTACATGGGTGTTCGTCTGTGATTTTACTTCTATATAATATAGGTTATATTATCAATATATTATATTGATGTATAGTAGTCGTGCAGGGTCGGACGGGCACACACACACACGCACAAAAAAGCGTGCGCGCCCACGCACGCACGAACACGGATATATATATATCTCTCAGGAGTTAATAAAGACAAACGTCTTTATTTTTATTAACTCCTGATATATATATATATATATATCGACGTTATAT